CAGGTATAGGCACCACTGTTTTCTATAAGTTCGACATTCGGTTGGAAATGATATTAGTGAGACAGTCGAAGGACTCTATAAGTTAAGAGAACTGGGATTAGTGAAGGAGCTTCTCTGATTTTTTCGGCAGTGTAATACAGCTTTGAATCTTAAAAGAACGCTCAAAGTGCCCTTCACTTTCGTCGGCATTGAGAACAGCAGTAAATAAGGCGATTGTATGCATGATTTGGATAAGTGGAGAAGTATTTCAAGACAAGGAAGTGTTGATGGGTAAATGTCACTGACAAAGAGCATCGGAGCATTTTCGTATACAACACTTACAGAGTTTGAATTTTGAATTATTAATGAAAAAAATAAAATCTGATCAAAAAATAGACCGAATTAAGCTGCTGCGACAGTGTGGACTCGTAATTTCAACGGATCGTCATTGTACCGAATCTTCAACAATTCCGATAAAGGTCATCATAGGTAAGGTTTCAGCTCAACTATCTAAGGAATTTCCAGTGCATAATAAGTAGATATGTGAATGTAATCGCTCAAGCGCTCAATTTTTTCTTGTTTATTTCTATGATATTGCGAACGATTATCTTATTTGTTTGTCATTCTTTGGTTGTCATTTGAAAAATGAAGTCACTTGCGTTTCGTGAAATCTGGTAGAAAGAAAAGACCTTCAGGTGAAAAGAAAAGTCGATCAAAGCATTTTACTTTGTGCCTGTGGGCTTGATGGATATAATCGCTTAGTGTTATTAAGACTACTCAGAGCATTGTTTTCGTGGTATTCCACTAATTCTATAGTAGTTTGTTTAGAAGCGAGATCGACCGCGAACATGTGACGGTGCTGCTAGCGAGATCTCCTGGACAATGCACGCTTGGCCCCTGTACACTTGCATTGAGTACTAACGCAAGAAGCAACAGCGGTGAGTTGATTATCGCTTGACCAGGATGTATTTTTAACTCCATCAGAAGCTGGTTTTGAAGCAAATGGTTTCTTTTCAGAAGTCACCTCTCAGTTGGAGAACGTGCCCAGCACTTCGGATAGCCTCATTGATCTCCGGAACACATTCTATTGCGCACGGTACTACGGCGCCTGTGGTGCACAGCTCCCATTATTCAGATTCACAAAAGGATCTGGCTCATCAATAGGTAACGCTTAAATCTGCGTTGAAATCAGAAAAATAAGAAGTGAAGGGCTGCGTTCATGACTGCACTAATAAATTATATATGGTTAGTAGGATGTTTTCTTTTTCCTTATTCTCTCTTAATTCTGCTCATGAGTGTTTATGCCACATATTTGATGGATAAAACAGCTGAATATAAATTCGTGTTATTGCTCCGTTTAGAGACAGGTCTTATCAAGATTGAACAGCCACTGCCATAATGTAATAGGATCGTATATACGGCTCATACTTAAGGCACTGATTAACGTCGAGCGCTCTATTATTTCTGTTTTTCATTTCAGTATACGCGTACTCACCCGAACCCGATGCGTCGTTCCCCGGCTATTCTAAGGAAGAAAAAGTTTTTTGCTATGGCTGGACCGGCAACGCATCTGTAAAACATCCGATGTCCAACAACAGGAGCTGTATGCCACTGAACTCTGTAGCGAACGGAAAGGTTTGGCTGCCAAATTCTCAAAACGGTAAAGACTAATGCTGACGGTTTCGTATGAAATGGTGGTGACTCATGGCACTGATTTTTTATTTCGTTTTACGAATTTGATAAATCTCGATGGGTCGTGAGCCACTTGCGAAATTGGTAGATTCCAGTCCTAGGTTTCCACAGTTATTTCATCAAGCAGCATTAGAAATAAATAAGGTGATCAAAAATCTCGATTTGATTAATATATGCACTTGTGATAAATTTGGAAAAACGAAAATTCGTGTAGACTGCTTGCTTATTGAAAACTGAGTGTTTTTCTAGCGACACAATAGCGCTCGCATGAGTCGCACATTTTTCACATGTATTCTAATTTAATACTGCTTTCAACCTAAGCATTAAGTATCCTTATAAAAATGCGATAGTTCAGCGCTCGCACCAGAACTTTATGTCAGGAATTTAGTATCTACAAATTCCTACCATCCAGGTATAGCAGCTTCTATCGTGAAAATGAGTCGTGCTTTTTTGAGGATTACAAATACAGTTTACCGATTTTTCCAAGAAAGTACGCTCTTAATGTAGTTCTCGTCAAAGCTCAACCCCTACTACTATAAGGAATCGTCACCGTATGGGTTATACTGTGTATCAAATGAGAAGATCACCGAACGTAGCGTTCTTTTAGAGTGATTAACTGTCGACAGCTGTTTGTTTAGCTTACGGCTTAGGTCAGCATTTATAAATCAACACTTTCAACCAACTACTTCGAGACCGCGATAAAGATTCAATGTAATTTGTTAGAATAAAGGATTTGAAATCTGCCTCCATTACTTTTCGAAATGAGCTTTAAACAGCTTTATCGAAACATGAGATGTTTATGATCATAGTACTAGAGCGGAGATTTTACTACGAACGAACCAACCTCAACTAGTCAATTACACTTCAATTGTATCACTCGACTCATCATCACAAGTTACTATGCATATTCTAGCTTTTCGAGCCGTCGATTCTTCGTATCCGTCCTCCACATAGGTCTTGAGAATTCGCGTGTTACTTGGACTGCTGCTTGAAGACTTTGTTCTTCTTTGTGAATGTCGTAAAACGCTCTCATTGCAATTTTGGAGACAGCCGAGCCAAGATGTTCCCTTAGGCATTCGTTGATTGATTGTAAGGGTGCGCTGAAGGGAGGGTCGCACCAGCACTTTGCTATCAACCAGGTTCCTGTTACTCCATGTCATTAATCTGTGCTCTACCCCACTCTCTCACTTTAGTTATCGGAAAATATGCAATAGCCGACATAAAATAAGTGTCGTCACTTGTATGCACGTCTTAATATTTCAAATGATCTACAGGGGCTTTTATTTTATTCAAAGAAACACTGTTTTAAACCAGGAAAGTGGTTCACTGGGAAACTAGACTCCAACCTACCAGTCAGTGTCATCCGGAGAGCAAATTCGTCTATTAAGCCTGAGGCAAAACCCTCTTTCCTGTATGGTTTCGTAATCTGAGATGCTGTTTATACTCATGCTTTTGAAAAAAACCTTTTCATCGCGCTGTGGCAGAAAAAAAATTTGTGTTGCATACACGCATATTTCTCGCAGATCAGACTGCTCCCCGAATTTTTGAGTAGCTGGGGAGAGGGGCTGGCAATGAATTCCGTACGGCATCGACCGATCGTGTTAGTCGTTACATATGTCGGGTGAAAGTTCTGTTATTTATTTTACACTTCTTCCGCTTAAAACAGCTCAGATTAAACGTATGATTCTATGCTACGAGATTTCCTCTACACGTATCCATATTTTTCATGCCTCCAGCAAAGATGTAATAGAACTTCTCGGCCGGTGTAAAACATGATTTCATTTTAAATGCTACAGCATTATAATAGGGATTATGGGCTTTTTTTAACAAAAGCACGTAGCGTAGTAACCAGAGATTTGAACTTTCGAATGATTTCTCACATTCTTATGAAAAGTTCTTGTCCATAAAAGGAGGTTGAATTTTAATTAATCGCTTCATCACACACAAGTACTGACTACCACTTAGTTGGATCGTTGGGTAGTGTTTGCGAAAGATAAAAGTGCCATGTAAAGCACCGTACCTGCTATTAAAAACTCGATTCCATAGATCCTACACCAATCAAACATCCATTCACAGACCTTCGTCAATAACGATGTAAGGTAATGAACCAAATGCAAATAATGCTAGGATTCACATGATATGTGGCACTGGCCACACACCTTGAAAAGTAGATTTTAAAAAGCTTGAAGTGACCATAAAATCAAGGGAGCGATTTGAAAGAATTGACCAAATACAAAAAGTGTACCGAAGTACTCAGATTGATCCCAAAGGCCATTATAAAATGCGAGACATCTTTAGATCAACTACAGCACCATGGAACCTTACAAGCCGTCAACAACAGCGACAATGACATGCGAGTCCGGATTGAGTGTTCTGGGAGCATCTACGCTCCGCTGTACTGAGAATGGCTGGTTACCACGCGAAGGGTTCGGAGTATGTCGGATGGTGAGACCTACCTTATTTCATATGACAACTTTACAAATAGTTCAGATTAAGTTATACTATGTTTTTGTCACAAAAATTCATTCATTGAATGTCTCGATTATCAGAAATGATTCTGTTGTTTAATTTCTTGCACTATATATATATATATATATATATATATATATATATATATATATATATATATATATAACAAGAATTAAGAAATGCGCTAATGTGACTTCTAAAACTGAAGAAAATATAGTTATCAAAGTTGGTCTCAAGATCATGCTGAATGTTCTGGAACATTTTTCAGTATCTGGTGGGAATATCCATCTCAGATTGCTGTGGAGGTCACAGAAGATATGAACTTTCTGAATTTTAGGTTTAAAATAGTTCCTACGAGACGCCTTATATATTCTAAAATGTCCCTAATGATCAAATCCTTCATTCATGAACGTCACTAACAAGTTGTGCAAAAAGTGTGAGGATTTTAAGGTGGATGGTGTGTTATTCGGGCACATATCTGATATTCTTGACCAAAAGCATGGATTTTGTTAACAAATACAAACATGATTTTTTTACCCAATATGTGGAGTATTGTGCAAAAACGTTTGCGTCAGCCGGGATTCGAACCCAGACCTCACTCTTTCCGGGAGCGTGTGCTAACCATTGCACTACAGACGCTCGTTCTTGCACAGCACTCTTATTTTACGCTACAACGCGTTGTCTGCCAACAGCCAACCGTCGAGGGTCTGGCGGGGCAGCCGCTATCGGCATTGAACCCACTTGTATTGACAGACATTGGATATCGATGATCAGTCTAAATTCTTTCTATTTTGACTGCCACTTGCAGTGGTATGATGTTATACTTATACCCAATATGTGGAGTACTGTGCAAAAACGTTTGCGTCAGCCGGGATTCGAACCCAGACCTCACTCTTTCCGGGAGCGTATGCTAATCATTGCACTACAGAAAGAGTGAGATCTGGGTTCGAACCCCGGCTGACGCAAACGTTTTTGCAGAGTACTCCACATATTGGGTATAAGTATAACATCATACCACTGCAAGTGGCAGTCAAAATAGAAAGAATTTAGACTGATCATGATTTTTTTATTAGAATGAGACCCTCTCTACGCCAAATTTGAAACAAAATAATTCCAAAATTAGATATGTTGGACGTGTTGCTTTAAGGATGATGACCTGAATCTTTCCTACAAACCTGTACATACTTTTTTTTTCTATATTGTGCGATGAGTAGAGGCAGAATCTCTTGTCTTTGTGGTCAGCTTACAAGCTTTTGCGGAAAAGAGAGAGGAAAAAATATGCTTGATGGAGCCCAGGAATTCAGAATTTCCTCTGGATAGAATGGCGAAGCTCGTACTTCGCAGCTGAGATTCGCAAACTTTGGCTTTTTCTGAATTTTAATCAATAAGATCTTGAGATGATCAAAGATGTGAAGGAACCAACTATCTCTCGATGTAGACGAGTCAGATTATTTTGAACGATCTATCATCACATTTTATTATGCGAATCTTAGCACTTCTAAACTCGAGTCGTCGCCTTGATTATACCCTCTGCAAAAATCATCGAATACTTTGCCTGTTGTCTTGACCATATCTTGAGAATTTCGTCTTCCTCATTGATGACGTAGGATGCTGCACAAATCTCTTCTCGATAGAACCCGGGCTAAGGCGTTCTGTGAAACGTTCGTTGACTAAGTGAGAGAGAGAGAGAGAGTGCTGGCGAGAGTCAGACCAAACCACCACCATATTTCCTTCCAATCTGCATCACTATCCAATCGGCTGTCATTCTCCCTAAATAATATATACATGACTTGTATACGCCACATGTGTTAGATTGATGTTTGAGTACGCAGCTGCAACTGATTTGCGAAAGCAGTCTCATTTTCATTCATAGGGCAAATGTTATTCTTTCCGCAAACTTTTTTTTTGTCAATTCGTTTTAACACCAAGTATTTTCAGCCCCTTCGTGCGAAGCGACAGGTTTGTTGAACGGTTTATCAATGGTTCTCTAATGCCTTGCAGTTTTCTTTGCATTCTAATCAGCTTAGCTCACATAGCTTATTTTATGGACTAATCATCGTTTTTTTCTAATTGAACAAAAGTCTTAGCATGTTTTGCATTCACAGCTAGTTTGGTTTAGGGCTTTGGCCTCGCCTGCCTTCCAGTCGTTGTAATTGGCGGGACGTCGTCTTATGCTCAGTCTAACCTACAGGTACCCTACTCACCTGGAACCTCGGTGTTCGTCGTGTGCCACGTAGGCTATACTTCTCAAGGTCCCATGTCTGCGTTGTGTGAAAATGGTGTTTGGACAGCTAATCTAGGTAAGAGTTTACATCACTCGGCAGTCCTTCTCCCTAGACAAAAATGAATACACTGTTGTTGAGTAAAGACCAAAACTTGCAGCCTTGGGTGGATTTAGAAGCAAGAAGCAGTACCTATGCCAACCAGACTCCTCATTTCCCTTTTTTTAGTCATGTATCTACTTCTCGGCTTTATCAGCAGACACCTGATATTAGGAAGCTAGAAATTATGGTTTTGACCACTGATTAAGTACAAGTGGGTTCAATGTCTCATTGTGCTCCACAGATTATTTCCTTTGCTGGGTGATTGGTGATAGAACCGACAGACTCAAACATGGCTAAAAGAAAAGCAAACAACGGTCAGTTGGTGTAGCAGACAATTGAAACTGAGTAAAAGCTAATAGCGGGTTCCAAAACGCAAAATTCCAAGTTTTGCTTACAGCTCAGCATTCAGTCGGTGTACTTCATATAGCACCCTGTCATAAATAAAGGCAGCTGATAAGAAGTTAAGCAAAACTATTGTTGTTTGTTATTTCATTATTTATTTTGGCTAATGACTGAGTCCATCACATACATCAAGTTATTCACAAAATTAAAGCAAATACGTTGTCGATCCTAATGCTTGCCTATCATTCTGAGTGCACAAGAACTACACAAGATTGAAGAACATGAATTGATTATTGCGAAAGACCAATCCAGTTTTACTATCTGCACTATATTACGCGTGTTACGTGTCCTGAGGATCTCCTAATCACGAAATGTTGAAGACAGTAATTGATTTAGCAATCATTTTTCAGGTAACTGTGTCCTTCCTCCAGGTGCACTACCAGGTAGGAATGTTTGTTCATTTATAATGTTGCTTTGATTACTGAAGAGCAGATATGTATATATGTATATTATATATATATATATATATATTTATATATATACATATATATGCTTTGTAATTGAAAATAGTATGAGGACTCTTCACGTGTAAATGCAGTCTATATTTCAAGGCTTCGTTCATACTCTTCAAATGATCAAATCGTGTCTCTACAAAATAACGGAGCACTGAGAGTGGCGGTCATTTGAGCAGTATGAGAGGTGAATTGTGGGTTCACCACTCGGCCGGTACCTTTTGTGAGCGGCCCGGACGCAATCCATATTACTCCTCTTTATTTCTATAATTCTTTCCTAGCGTTATTTTCAATGACATTACAAGCTAAAGTCACAAGCATGGAGTGACCTCTCCAACACGAGGAAATCAAATCCAGCTTACATAACATCGCACTATAGGTTTAGTTCATGTTCTGCTTTTACTCTGTAAGAGGAGATTATGCCGTTATCGAAATAAAGTTGATCAAGGGTTTCCATTTCCATACGTATGCTTCGTAACCAATCACACCACTCCATTAGTCACCAAAAGATGTTCTTCTATAGGGAAGGCGCTGGTAGGTTTGCATTTCCTTCAACGCCGTTCAGAGCTTTCCGTGATGAACAAAGGGATGAAAAATGAGGCAGGCCCCATATAACACAAAAACGTGTTTCAATTCTGGTTTCTCATCTGGCTTTGCCTTACCCAGAGCATTCGTTTGGAGATCCTAGTGTAAAGGCAAGTGACTGAACGGGAGCTCGTGACGAGGATTTCTTCAGTCGATTTTCTCACAAATACGTCCAATATTTCGCTGTTCTAGAGTCCCTCGACGGAAATAAATTTTCGCTCAATTACAAAATTTTATATCGGGCATGGCTTGGGGCCATAAAGAGGAGGATTTTGATGACACCGTACCTCAAAGCTGCGTCTCTTCTATTGCTAAATGTGAAACTTCGGATCCGATTTTCTTCCACCGAAGATTATGGGCTTTGAGATGTTTATTGTGGAACACAAAAGGTCATTGTAGATTTTCCCATTATCAATTCTTACATGCTATTGCATACCAGCACGTTGTTCATTCCAATATTGTACATTGCCTTCATCATTTATAAGAGCACTCAATCTTGCACAAGGATACTGCAGTACATGGGAATTTGGCCTTCTTCGTAGATGGTTCTGCATACGGGCCAAGTGAAATAACGCGCAGATTCTGTTATGTGCAAAACCGCAGCTAGGTTTTCATCGGTCTTTCTTAGTTAGTGGGAGCTTTTCTTAAAAGAATATGGTTCTAGTCTGCCGACAACGGCGGAAATGGTGTCGCGGTTGCTTCGAAAAAGACTCGAAAGGACTTCTTTACATCAATCACTAATAACTAAATCGGCTGTCAAAGCTCAACGCAGTTGTCTTTATTCATCAACATAACCTTAGATTAAAAGAAAAAACTCTAATGATGGCAGTGCTGTCACGACTTCAAAGTTATTTCATAGTAACAAAATCAGCTTCCACGAATGAATAAAGCACTAGCGAATAGCAATATCTCATGTGGAAATTGAATAGCGGATGAAATATTTCCCTACAAGTAGAGAGTGCCATAAGAGGTCAAATGAAGCACGGAAAATTAGCAGTACAATGAATACGTCAAGCGATTTTCACTACTACAAGGTCTAAAGCCACCAATTCGCTGTTGTAAAGCATTGCTTTGTAAAGAACTTAATTGAAGCATGCTGGTGCCGAGTAATGCTATGGTATTTGCAAAATCCGACTGTCCAATTAATATGCCAGAAAATCATTTTTGAGCCATGCATGTCATGTGGTCTGTTAAACATGGGCTGACTTATAAAGCCCGATACACGTGTTTCGATCTTACGATCTCGTCAGTCGGGCGGTTACCCATTCTCGTCCTCTGCTAATCTGTGTGAGTGCCCACACTAAAAGTTAGCGACGACGGATGTTCTACACTCTATGTCCAGTGAAATTGCCTCCGAACACAGAGCGTCGTACACTACCGCAGAGATCAGCAAAGGACAAGAAAGGGTAACTGCCCGACTGACGAGATCGTAAGATTGAATCACGTGTATTGGGCTCTATAAGTCAGTCCATCTTTAACAGACCACACGACATGCGTGGCTCAAAAATGATTCTCTGGCATATAAAAATTTGAGCTATGGTCTTAAGAAAACACTCGAAACGAAAGATATGTCCAATTAATGTTATACAGCGACCAATCTGCCAACGATCTGTTAACGATAGGGACTTTGGTGCTGATGAACTAACTCATTTTACATGAGAAAAAAGACATTCTGCTTAACCCTCACAGTCACACAGCGTAGCGCTTTTGTTTTTCGATCTGCGCTTTGTACCTGTTGGATCGTCAGCGTTGAACTCCCAGAATGGAATTTGGACGCCGACGTATGGCACATACAGTGTCAAAAATTATCCATTAATATGCCAAATAATCACTTTTGAGCCAGGCATGTCATGTGGTCTGTTATATGGACTGACCTGCAGAGCCCGATACACGTATTTCGACCTTGACAGTCTCATCAGTCGGGCGGTATTCTTTCTCGTCTTTTGCCAATCCTATGTGGGTGTTCCAGTCCCCACAGTAAGAGTTAGCGACAACGAACACTTTACTCTGTAAATTTAGTGAAATTATCACTGTGCAGACAGTGTTGTACACTCGATTGTTCACGGCTAGTGTACCTAATAAATCATATCTTATCCATTAATAGCATTCGTTTGATTGCCCAGCACCCTCAGGTGATCAATAACGAAATTTTCACGGAACCCTCTAGCCTCGCTATCTTCGAGATTGCGAGGAAATGTACTCAACCAGTATTCTAGGACGTTCGTGGAGAAGTAAAATCTTCAATCAAACCAATGGTGAGAATACCACATTCCGCCAACGCAGAGAAAAAAAAGATATGGATGTAAAGTGATTTACACAAAAATTGAAGATTTTCTATCGTTCAGGAAGCAGAAAGAAAATTTTTTGAACACTCGAAACACAACAACTTCAACCATTTTTTCCGCTGATAAATTTCAATTACAATGCTGTAGACACCGATCATGCGTGGACGCATATTTATCAAGTCCTCTGATGGACGTTTGCTAAAGAAGCCCGTTATTCCCATGAAGTCGTCTGTATACTAGCAATCCTTTATGATGAATCAAACTCTCAAAATGATTGAAAAGAATTTTTTAAATTCAACCTCCTCTAGCGGTGGTATGAACTTTCAAATATACCTTTGATGTTGTAGAGTGATATGCAAGACTTTCGCGTCAGGCGGAACTCGAACCCACATCTCACTCAATTCAGGAACGCGTGCTCTAACCCGTTGCAGTACTGACGCCCAGTTTCCACACCACTTTTTCTGCGCTTCTACTTGTGTTCTCTGTCGAAGGCCAACTACCCGAGCCAGGGCGTAGACGGTGATAGACGCGGAGATAGACGCGTTATAGCGTACAAAAAGTGCTGTGCAAACTGAGCGTCAGTAGTACAACTGGTTAGAGCACGCGCTCCCGGATTGAGTGGGATGTGGGTTCGAGTCCCGTCTGACGCGAAAGTTTTGCATATCACCTTACATCAAAGTCTCATAATGTATAGAAACTCAAAATTGCGACTCAAATGCACATTACTCAACGCAGTTCCGTTGCTAAATATGAACATTGAAGGAAGATGTTTGACTTTGATGAGAACATGCTTTCAGGTGCTTCAGCGCTCGGTTGTCCAGCAATGTTGTCACCACTTGGGGGTACAATATCCTATTCGAGTGGCAGCACGTTGGGCCCCTTTGATTCAGGAGCAGCCGCCACACTCAGATGTAATTACGGTTTACCCCTAGGTAAAAAATATTTGATATCTTTTTTTTCTCTTCATTGTAAGATCACGTGGTATTTAGGATCTTCCGTGAGTACTTGTTTGAATGGTCAGTGGTCGCCTTCTGCATTGGGGACATGCTATTGATCCAGGTAAGTCAGACTTCTAATTTTGTTCTCTTAACCCTTCCGCGATGATGCGCGTTGAGTTTGATATTCACTCTGGCTGGTTCTTATCACGCAGTAATTTCTATACACAAATTTCCACTAATTGTTTATACGGATCTTTCTTCGCTCGCTTGTTGTCATCATGGATGACTTGTCGAGCAAATCCACTGCGTTCTGGCCTAGGTAGTCGTTCTCAATGCCCTAATCCTAGAGAAAAGCCCTTCCCGAACGAGAAAACTTGTGTGCTTCAATTCAACAGAGGATCTTTTAGTACATGCGCAGCAAAACCAAGAATCTGGACACACTCCGTTGTTATTAAAGATGGTATATCAGTGAGGAGACTTCTATAAAAGTGTTAGTGGTGTACAGAAGGCCTATGCATTATCAAAGTGCTCATCCAGTACATCATAGGAAAAAATTAACTATTCCAGCATATTTCATAATTGTCATCTGAGGCAATATGTCATGTGGTCTGTCAATGGACTCTTGTGCAGCCCGATACACACGTATTCAGATAATATTAGAATTTGAGCGTGGCCTTAAAAAAAACACTTGAAACGCAAAATGTAATATATTCTATAATACCAGCCAAGAGCAATCGAGTGTAAAAAACTGCCCTTCTGATTTTGTTTTTCACTTGATGGCAGTGTAGTGTAAATCGTTCTGATTCTTAAGAATGTTCAAAGCCTTACCCGAGGTTGGTACGCCACAATCATACACCGGTGTTTCGAAGGTCTCGCCGTCCTCGTCAGTGACCCACGCCTCACATTGAGCCCTGCATTGTAGCAAGGACGGAGGCGTATGTGGTGACGCTGTTTCAAAACTGGTTTTAGAAATAGTCGATGCCATGGATCAATTTTGTTCTACCAGCAAAGATCCATCGACTAAGAAGTGATGGTGGACCAGTGTCATTGTACGCTGTGCCATCACCACATACGTCTCCCTTCTTGCTACAATGCAGGGCTTAATGTGGGGAGGGGTCACTGACGAGGAGGACGAGACCTTCGAAGCACTAGTGTATGATCCTGGCGTACCAAACTCGGGTAAGGCTTCAAACATTCTTGCAAATTAGATTGAATGTCTACTGCGAGGTTATAAAGACAGTTAATGCCATATGAACCGATCGTCGTCGCCTATTCTTAGTGTGGGGACTGGAGCACACCGCAATGATTGGCTAAAAGACAAAGGGTTCTGCCCAAATGACGAGACTGTCAAGGGCGAAACAAGTGTGTCGGGCTGTACAAGAGCGCACTAATAGACCACATGACAATTTGGCTCAAATAGCAATTGCGAGAATATTGTAACTTGCGCGTGGTCTCAAGAAAACACCCAAAACAAAAGGTATAAATTCCATCTTATATCGAGCTTTCTTTCACTCGATATCAATCGTCTAACCCGAAAACTTTATTCTATTAGGTTTGTACCAAAGTTATTGCGGTTTCACATCTCAGGTGTTGCGGTAATTTCGATTTATGAATGAATTCCACTATCAAACGACAAATTTTAGCAATGCGTAAGCCGCGAATACTTTTGCACCAATCGCTAAACAATATAGTGAAGCATTTATCAATGTAGAGCATATCATTGCAAAAAATGCGATCCTTAGTCGATATCCTTACAACATTTCGTTGTTTTTGCAAATGTTTTACTTGACAATATTTATTTAGTCATCTACAAGTGCAATCAGAATCAATACAACGGCGTGCGATGAAGTGACCCGTGTTCCATTGAACTCCTAATTATTGTACATAATAAACTGTTCCTGTGTAGAATTTGTAACGCTTACCCACAATAATATAGGGAGGATATTTGTAATGTAATCTAAAAACACTACTAATAATGATGTGTTAAGGATGATAAGACACGAGCGAAACGTGGAATTGGGGCGGCTTCGAGTACGCGATAGGCGGAACGAGGACCTCGATGGAGTAATGGATAATTTTGTGAGCCCTCTGCAAGGCTGGTATAAGGAGATTTTTCACAAAGTACCTGCGAGTTAGGCAATAAACAAAAGTTAAAAGTGTGGCTCTTTCCTACTCAAAATCATATACAATGTACAGTTTCAACTCGTTCTTCACATCTCGTCTGTCATAAGGCTCTTCTTCTTGCGTAAAAACTATATTCTGCATAATCAATTGAACATTATCAGAACAGTATAGAAGAAATGCTTCTAACCTACTACATTTACTAGAGAAGTGGTTGGCAAATCCCGTAGCACTGTTCGCTAATCGACTGTTTAGGTAAACTTCGCTTTCTAAAATTTTGATAGATTCAGAAAGGCTGATTTAGCAGTTTTCTACCACGTCTTTCAGCATCCGTCTTCTTATCAGAAGGAGGAGGTTATCGTAAAGCAATTTTAAGCTTGATCACTCACCCGTCATCGCTTCGTCATCCGAGGCACATTGGTTTTGCGATACTGTCGACAGAGCCATCATCTGCAACTAATACAGAGGTTTCCACGCTGTGCATCGCTAAGCTTCTCATCAATACCTCTCACGAAGAATAGATCAAATAAATCCTCATGTCTTCACGGCAACCGTGACGTCACTAAAATTTCAACTCATGAATATGTCCACCCGGCGTACGAAATTGTAGTAAATAAAACATTGCGGTGAAACATAAAAAGTATGAAACAAAAGACAGAGCATCGGATAGAAACGGTTGAGAAACGGATACGATGCATACGTTCCTGGTAAGGCACAATTCTATTTCCGCTTCCCAGGCTTTCTCAGACACTTGAATCTTATTGAAACAAAAAAAAAAAACACGAAATCAAAATGTGTCAGCTGCAACTTCTCGTTTTTAGCGTAAATGAAAGAGCCATCGAAGTTGCGCATAGCTTTTTCAGTATACAAGGTTTGAGGCTATAATAGGTCTTGTCAAAAGTTTTGACACTAGAGCAATAAATCTAAATTTATCACTTAGAAGTAATAAAAGCTGCTTAACATTACTATAAAGTAAAGTGTTCTCGCCTTCCAACAATTCCCTTAACACTCTAATCGAGTTATGATATCGAGTCAAACGAGTTCTATCTAACGCTTGAAAATGTCATATACGATGATCATCGGTTGTTAATGTTATCCGTTATGTTATGTAAATTCATCTGTAAGGTTTTCCATCACCAGGCCAATAATCTACTTCTCATTAGATGTGTCTATCGTCCAAATAGAATAATTACTTGAATGGTGCATCTTCACCAGTAGTGCGAATCCCAGCAAATATTCTATCGCTTTCTATCGCTTTTGTTCTCACGCAATCGTCTTGCATGTTGGTGGCATGCTCCAGTTCATGTTGACGTCTCCGCAGCAATCCGTAGTCCTGGAAACGTTTACATCTATGTATCGAGATAACTCAAAATTCGACTTCCCATAAACCTCGACATAATTAATATATATATGAAAATCGAGAAAACTTATCTTGATTAGTTGACGCGAGGTTGGTAAAGTAGTCGTAGTAATTCGGCTGACATTTCGGCGACCCGCCTTCTTTAGAGCCTGGGTGGATGTAATATGAGTTGTATCCAGATTGTTGACGTATGTTTTGATTACGATCACTATTCCTTTGGGTTGCTGTCCACAAAACACTTACATTCTTTTAGAGTCCATTTCACCATACTTTTTGTATGTCTGTCGTCTGTTCTTTTCATAACATGGCAGACCTATTTACTAAATTTCCAACTAAGTTTCCGAACTTGATCTAAAAGTTTAAAGTAATCGAAAATATCAAATAACATTAAGTAAACTATTTTTCGTTTGCTGCCTGGATACAATTCTGCCAACGCTCTGGCAACAACGCTCATAAAACTCAATATTACTCGATGCAAAGCAAGCAGACAATTCTCGACGCAAATGATTGATGTCTCAAAACTTCTTGTCTAACCAGTGCTCCAATGATCTGAAGATATGGAAACCGGACAGAGACAGATCTGACGAATCCAATTGCTCCTAAGCCATTTCTTACCTGCACCTTTTAAAATTTTCCAGATATGCTCGTCTGAATATTGGAAATCATCGGCCAAACCACTAGTTGACAAAGTCGGATCTTCTTTAGTCGCTCAACGATGCTTCTCGACCAATTTCACGTGGTCTTCCGGATCTTGGTTGATTGACTAAATCAGTATCTCTGTTACGAGACTTTGCAAACGATTCATACGCCGTAGTTCTACCCACAACTTGGCGGACTTTCGCACGATTAATGTTGTCAAATGCAGCTTGAAAACTGAACTGTTCCAATTGAAACTCGTAAAGCAGTAAGTTATAAATGACTTTCCATGACGGCTCCATTGTTAGACAAGCATATGCAAAAAATATCAAACAATCCGCAAAAAATTCTGCCCAAGAAAGGTGAGAGACAAAAAATTTGACTT